TGCATAGTGCTTCAGCAGTTGACATATATAGAGCTCAGCGGAAACATATAAATTATAGCATCTGACCAATGAGAATTTCGCGTCACGATTTGAGACGCAGATATTCAAATTCATTAGTCATCGATGCAGGCTCTCAATTCAGCTCTAGAGCCTGTTCGCAGGCTAGTAAAAGCTCGGCTTCGTTAATTGAATCGATGAAATTAATGTCCGATGAAATGTCCGAATAGCCCGAGCCGTCTAACCAATTAATGGAAGGAAAATTGAAGTCTCCAATTAAAATCAAATCTTTGATTTTATGATCAGACAAGTACTTGAGAAATTCCTTCAATTGCTGAATAAATTCTGGTCCAGCATCAGGTGGACGATAGCAAACGGAGACAAGAATGTTTTTGTTCATGGTCTTGATGAAAACACTTGTAATATGGTAATTTGAGTTTTTTCTACTGCTATGTTTCTTTAACAGCAAGTACTATAGTACACCTCCTCTTCTTTTTCCAAAATCTCTATCTTTGCGGTAGATTGTATAGCTGTGCGGTAAAATTTTATGGTTGGTCACGGAATGATCTAACCAGGTCTCAGTAAGTGGAATTATGTCAAAATAATTTGTGAGAACAATGTCTTGAAAATGAGATAATTTCCCACCGCTTTAAGACTTCTAACATTTATTCTAACATCTACAATATGTTATGTATTGGATGTTGCTGACTTTAATGAGAACATCAAGAGGGAAGCAAAAAAGAATAAGGATGGAAAAACCTACTACAGTATTCACTACCAAAAATATAAAAATGGCGATGAGTTGGTTCGAGTTGTTCCTGTTCCCCCCACCTACAACTATGTGGTTGATTTAAGTAATTTCTTGTTTAAAGATACCAAGCCAGCTATGAAGCTCAAAATGAATAAGTTTTTAAAGAAAGTTCCTGCTCCACTTACGCCCCCATTCTAAAAGCTCACTCATGCACACTCACACTAAATGAGTGGAGGTTCAATCTGAGCTACTCGAGAGTGTCATTGCTGTTTTTGAATAGCCGGAGGGTTAGTGTCGTACCGTACTATGTGACTACTCACCCCACAGCTATGACACTCAAGAAAGGCTCAGATTGAACCTCCACTCACTGAGTGTGATTATGAGTGAGCTTTTAGAATACGGGCGTTAGCTCACAATTTAGCGACAAAGTGGACCGCCTTACTGCCATTGAAAATGATAAAAAAGACAGGAAATTACTGTCCAGTTATACCACATTTGTAAGTACAGTTCCTTTAAATTTATTATTATTATTATTATTATTATTCAATGAAGTAAGTATTCCCGGAGAGGGTTTTCAATACCTATTTACAGAACGAATAGTTATATTAAAATTAAAATTCCTATTTATAGCGATTATTTAAAATCTATTTGTCTATGAGATGCGAAGTATAATTACATATTTATCATTTATTTAAAATCCATTAAATCTATAATATCAGAAAATGTAATTAATTATTGTTTAGCATTTTCTGCTTTAACTCAGGGTAACTTTTTAAGGGCTTCATCCAAGTCATTCCATAACTTCACCGCTCTGTTAATAAAAGGTTCTTTGTCCTGAAACTGTTTTGTGTTGAGGGATGTGTAGCGCTTTATTGTTCTTCTACAGCAAGCCAGCGAATTGCCCGTAGTGCTGGTATTAATTGATCATATCTTTTCCTACAAGCAAAGTTCTGTACTGCTCTCAATTTCTTTATATTTGTTGCAGAAGTGTTTGACCATACTGTAGAGCAATAATAAAGTTTGCTCATTACTAAAGCATTGATAATTAAGCGAAGACTATTCCTATCAAAGCTATCCTTTACTCTGTTTATCAGTTTGGCCATACAAGATGATACAACATTTTTGATATGGTAATCGTATGTCAGATAACTGTCTAGAGTTAATCCCAGGTCTTTGGCATTTGTGGTTGGTGTAATCTCTTCTCCAAGAAATGTAATTGACGTCCCCTCAAGGAGCTTTCCGAGCAGTTGGCGAGTTCCTATGATCAAGAGTAACTTTGTCTTCTCGGGGTTTATCAACAGTTTATTTTCGAAAAACCAAGTTGCGACCAATTTGAGGACCTCTTCTATCTTTGTTTTTGCACTAGCAATATCTTCAATTGGAAATGACATAAAGATCTTAGAATCGTCGACGAATGATTCCAACTCAGATGCTTGTGGTACTCTTGAGAGGTCATTTATATAGATGCAGGACAATAGCGATGACAATTTTACTCCCTGAGGCACTCCGTGGGTGATTGGAAAAACTTCGGATACTGAGGAGCCAACGCGAACGAACTGCTTTCTATCTGTAATGTAGCTTTCAAACCAGTTAAGGTCTTCATCTGAAACCCCAATATTGCTTAGTTTCTTTAACAGGATTGAATGGTCCACGCTGTCAAACGGTTTTGAGAGGTCCAAAGGACTAGAGCAGTATAATTTTGTTGTCCATCGATTTTAGCAAAAAATCATTGACTAATATACTGAGTGTTTCGGTTGAATGATACTTTTTGTTTCCACTTTGTTGGGAGGATAGGCGGTCAGTGCGGTTAAGAAAACCGCTAAAAGTAGGTCTGTTTTCACGCTACATTGCTCCAACTGCCTGAAGGCTACTGTCAATCTGACATAGTTATAGTTATAGTAAAATACTAAAATCAACAGATTATTTACAATTTGGTACAATACCATATTACCACGGACGGCAATACCTCTTTCAACATTGGTTTTTCAATAGTGTCCTTTTCATCTGCTGTATTCACAATGCAGCACTTCCATTATAGGATTATAAATGAATTCAAACCCGGCGATATACTGCTGTTTTATAGTGTTACATTTTAATACTTGGCATTACTTGCTGAATCAATTGGGATTTGGGGCCATTTTGGCACGAAATGACATTAAATACGAAATACTTCATGTGGTGTTATATGGGAAATTTAGTGCTGACAATTCGAATTGTTATATGAAATTATCTCCTTTTAAAATCATGTTATTTTCTCATTTTGTCTCAATTTTATTTTTGTTTGATATTTGCCTTGCAAAATCAAAACATAGACTTGAGAAGGAAATTGGTTTCCACTTGCACCCCCGTTGACCAAGGCTGCGCACACCCCTGGGACTCCCACCTCCACATGGCAGCTTAGTGGGTTAATTTCAATTTTCTTATATTATAGTGAGTGAACAAGAGCAGTTTCAACAGACAGTTTCTGGGCCAGAACGTACCAACGTACCAAAGACATGGTGTGTACAAAGCGCAAAAAAAACATGAAAGGTCACAAGCGTGGACAGTGCTAATAATTTAAACTCAAAAGTAACTGATGAACTGTTCGATACATGTAATTTTGTTTTATTGATATTATGGTGATTAGTTTATGTTATGCATGAGTACACACGCAAAAATCTCACATCTTGCAACAAAGTTTGTCAACAAGTTGTCGACGCACTGCTTGTCACAAGTTGTCAATAGTTTTGGAACAACTTGTTGACAACTTGTAACAATTTGCCGAAATTGTCAAACTTGTTACAAGGTTGTTCTGACAAGTCCGTTACATGCTTGAAATAACAAATTGTTACAATCTTATGTTGACAACCTTCTTATATCATGACTGTATCAAACTTGTTAGAACAACCTTGTAACAGGTCTGATAATGCCATCAAGGTTGTTACAAGTTGTTAACAGCTTGTTCCAAACTTGTTGCAACAACTGGGAACAAGCAGTGCGAAGACAACTTGTTGACAGCTTGTGAACAGACTTGTAACAACTTGTTTGCAGACTTGTTACAAGCTGCGACAGGGGGTGAATTTAACAGACACCTTGTTCAAATATTTAGAAATGCCCCATGTCCTGGATATACTGTCTCCCTCCATAGGTTCAAACCCTTTACATTTTGAGGTTTACTGTAGACTACACTAACTTTTCTCAAGACGGACTCATTGCGAATCCCTACCCAGAGACAAATTAATTCTAAAAGTTTCAAACCCTTACCGGCTTACCCCATTCAGAATACTCAATTGGATTCAAACATCATACTTACAGTGACTCATGCATTAATTATATAAACAAGTAATTTGTTTATTTTAATACCACTGTAAATTGTAAAATAATAAAGTGTAATAAAAAAGGAATTATTAAAGTACTTAATAAACCTATCAAAGTTCAACCTAGTTTCGAAATAAAATATGTAAGTGTGGGTAAAAAAAGAGTGCGGTATATAAAACTTTGAAACCTAGAAAATGTCCAAAAGTTAGTCTACTTCTCTTCTGCCGACTTATATCCAGAATTTTTCGGGGGTTTTTCGCCTTGGGAAAACTTGTTCGAATTGTTGTGTATACGCAAGCAGGAAGCGGTCTTGAATTTTCAAATCCCATGAACCCAAACACCATCGATATGAAAAGTCTGTAAGCGATTGCTCTTAAGTAGCCATTTTCGTCGCTGTCAAGTTGCGTTTACCTTTTACCCTGCCTTGTTCTCAACCCATTCGCTGCAACTTTCAGAACTCGGGGATGTAATACAACAGCGTCAAAATCAGGATTTCGGTAACGCATTTAACAAGTTCTTTCAGTGTTGGCTTGGACTTAAAAACATTAGCAGCATCTATCTCGTGACAACATCTATGTTCTCTTGGGCCACATAACAAACGCGTATCGCAATGGCCACAACAACACCAATTCTCAATCGTTTGTATTCCTTCGTGTCGGTCTTCAATTTCCTGATATCAAATTCTTCTTGTTCATTCTCGTCAGAATTTTCCGCGCTAATGGTTCGTGGGCATAACGCTGGTACGACCCGGCTAATATGTCTTCAATCTCACTGTTGTCTTCATGGTCTAATGTATTATTATTATTTAAGCTTTATCCTGACACATGAATAATACACATAGACAATTACATTTGAGAAACATATGGACAACATCAAACAAACAGGTGCCAAAAGAGGCGAAGCACAAACGAGATTATGTCCCATGCAGGGTGCTCACCACTAAATATTACAGAACAGACAAAATTACAAAATATATGGAATAGAAAAGAGAAATGGAAGGTTAGAAGCATAGTAGATGAAAATAGAGAAGAGGTAGAAAGAGATACATGGTGGAATGGAAGGTGTCAGTCGGTCGTGATCAAAGAGTGCGAGATAGGTTCGTCAGGAGTGTAAACAGTGGCTGTTAAGTGGAGATAAGTCTTGTGTAGGTATGTTTTAAAGTTGGAAAGAGTGTCATAGCAGTTGGGAGGAGCTGATTTACGTACATAGTTCCACAGTTTTACAATTCTAACAAAGTACGAGTTTTGGAATGTGCTTGTTCTACATAATGCGGTTTGTAAAAGGCAAGAGGTGCTTGCACGTGTTCTGCTTGCCGTAGTTTCGACATACTGTCTCCAACATGCTTGAAGACGAACACGACATGTTTCGTTTTCCGAATCGTTGGTGTATTCCCTTGCCACTTCTTCACAAAGTCAGAGATCAGATACTCCAATTAAACAACGTTTTAGTTTACTGATTTACAGATATAGATAATAAACCAACTATACAGCGACAATTTGTAAACTACATTATAATATAGCATTTGTAAATTCTGAACGCTGATTGGCTAAGAGACGTGTTGATATAACTCAATGTCAACACGGAAACGTCGGAAAATTTCTTTCTTTATGTTTCTTTGCGCTACTCGTGTTTCCACACAATTTCTCGTTTTCCCAATTTCCACTCGTGTTGATATAACTGTATGTCAACACGGAAAATGTTTTATATTTGTTAAATGTAAATTTCTCTTCCAAAGCCGAAAAGTTATTATAATATATCAATATGCATGCTAATCGGGTACAACTTCCTACGTCATCACTTGGACCCAGGCCCTAATTGCGAGTTGGTCTCGAAGCTGTTAAAAATCCAACTTTGAGGGCAAATTTCACCGCTTTAACAATGTTGAAATGAAAAAAGAAGTGCTTCACTCAAAAGAGCGCGTTTCATAGTCCTAGATTAGTTGAAAACTGAATGACAAAATTTACGCTTTATCTGCCCTTTAAGCAGGGCATTTTTTAAGAATTCATCAGTGGGGAGGGGGGGAGGGCATCTACAAAAAAGGACCATACTATACCGAGTGTGGAGAAATGATAGATGGTTTGGTGGTAACAAAACGTTTGGTGTGGCATCGCATCTAATTGTAGGGCGGGGGGGGGGGGTC